AGAAATTCCGACTTGGGGTCTGCTTCGGCCTCCTGGTGGGGGGCTTTGGGCGAAGGCTGGAGGGAAGAGCCGCTGGTGGTGAAGAGCCGGAGGGCCTCGTTCCAGTGGGACTGCATCATGGCCTGGAACTGGCTGACCATCTCAGCCCGCTGAGCCTCCAGGCGCCGGCACCTGGCCTTGCACTCCCGCAGGTCTTCTCTCTGCTTGGAAAGCCTATGCTCCTAGTCCTCAGTGAGGTGCTTCTGCTGAGCCTCCTCCTTGGTCAGATCCAATTTGAGCTGTTTTGCCAACTCTTTCTCCTGGCGGATGCTTAGCTCCAGCAACTGCTTCCTGTTGGGGCCCCAAGGAGCCCGGGCAAGGAGTGGCTGGGCGGGGATGGGTAAGTAGAAGTTGGCGGCGCCCCTTGACATGAGTGACATCTAGTTGGCCATACCCACCATCACATGACCATCTAGCCACACCCACCCAGCCGGTCATTAGGCAGATTGTATTCATGGCTCGCGGGATTTAAAATTATAAATTTAGTGGCCTGTGAGGTCCAAAAGTTTGGTGGCCCCTGGTCTAAGTTCACCTCTCTGCTTTTTTCCACCCCTCCAGTGGCCTTCTCCTTCCCAATATGGTCAACTCTTAGGAACCAACCTTGGCAACTTGTCGCACACCCCAAACTTCACCTTCGGCCAGAGGGGCGAGTACTGCTTGATTAACAAAGGTGAGATGGTCCCAAGAAACATTCTCCCGGGACAGGAAGGCATTCTTGTTCTCCCTAAGCCCCCAGGAGACCCAGGAGGTTGAGGAACATCTGGAGAACCTTGAGCAAGCAGCTCAGCAGGACTTTGGCTGATCTTGGAGACAGGCTTGTTTTAGATTTGGGAGATAGGGAATCCCAAAGGTAAATATTTATTAAAATAAATGTTGAATGCAAGTGGGTAACGAAACGTCTCCCACCTTGGAGAACACCAAGGACTCCACCGCGCAACCCTGAGCCACAAATCTTCTTCTCGAAGGTGATGTCCATTTTCTCCCCGCAGGCACGGTAGATGAACCTGGACCCAATCAATATAACATTGACCGTGCTTACACGCTTGTGCTTCACCGATCACCCTCCATCATCATCAACCCTGCCCCGTTCACTCTGTACAGATGGATCCCAAAAGGTGAGGAACCTCAAGAGAATCAGGCTGCCTTTGGTGAAGATTCTCCGTCATCCAGGTCAGAGTTATATCCCCCCCAAAAAATGGTCACAAATAAAACCCCAAATAACCAAGGTTCTCAGTGTTAAGCCCAATTGACTGCAAATAAAACACAATATTCATTCCACCTCCTGTCAGAACCAATCATTCCCCACCACCAACTAATCTCAATTATCAATAACTGTCTTTCCCATCTCCCACACCATTGAACTCATGAAGCTTCCAGGATAGGAAGCGAAACTTCTCCCTCCTCCAAAAATCAGTCCAGTTGGCCTTTTCAAAAGCAAAAACCACTTTTGATAAAGAGAATCGGAATCCATTCCTTTCTATTGTAGGAATAAAGCAAGCTTTTTTCTGGAAGACCATAGCTTCCCCCAAGGGGAACGCCACAAAAACAGTAGGGCCGACGGGCTCAAAGCAAGCCTTTAAGATAAACTACGATCCTCACAGCTCCAGACCCGGGGTACCATTTTCATGCCTCTTAAACTGTCTCCCTGAAAATAAGACCTCCCTGGATAATAAGCCCAATTGGACGGCCCCAAAAATACCGCCATGAGATGACCACGCCCGCTGCCTCCTGCACCTCAAAAATAATAAGACCGCCCCGAAAATAAGGCCAAGTGCTTATTTCAGGGGGGGGGGGTGTTCAAAAGAAAATAAGACCGTCTTATTTTCAAGGAAATACGATAGCTTCAGAGCGAAATCCAGAGATGGAGAGACATCAAATGACCTCCTGCCCCCATCTTTTCTTCTTTACAGAGGGGACTCCAGGTCCAGGGACTTACAACGTCGACAAAGGGTACAACGCTCGTCTGCCCAGGTGCCCCAGCTTCTACATCCAAGGGGTCAGGCGACCCAAGAAGCACGAAACGGGCCCGTTTTCAACGCTGTGAAGGTAGCGACAACAACGGAATTAATCTGGACTCTTCTCCTCCTTTGTAACATCTGTGGGCTGCTTGCGGTTAATACAGGCTTGCAAAAAAAAAAAAAAAAGACATAAAAACAGACCCTCTCCTCTTTATAAGGCTTCTGGGGCATTAGGCTGAGTTATATTAGCAAGGGAGAAATAAAGAATATCAGTCTATGAAAAAGTATGAGGACAAAACTCACTAGTAGTCCATTGGAAACGATGTTTGTGGAATAGAAAAGCAAGTCTTTTTTTTTTTAAAGCAAAGCACATTTGACAATTTTACACAGCAAACTTTCACCCAAAACATCTGCCACATTGCATTTCTTGACCTTAAGGTAAAGGTTCTCCTTGCACACCTGTGCTAGTCATTCCTGACTCTAGGGGGCGGTGCTCATCCACGTTTGAAACCCGAAGAGCCAGCGCTGTCCGAAGACGTCTCCGTGGTCATGTGGCCGGCATGACTCAACATTGAAGACGCATGGAACGCTGTTACCTTCCCACCAAAGGTGGCACCTATTTTTCTACTTGTATTTTTTACATGCTTTCGAACTGCTAGGTTGACGGAAGCTGAGACAAGTCACGGGAGCTCACTCCATTACGCAGTGCTAGGAATTTGAACCGCCAATCTTTCTTCTTATACCAATCTTTTTATTTCCATTTCATTCTATACAATCACGTTTACTGTGCAACCGAGGCATATAACATTGGGTAATAAACACAGCCCTCACTTTTATAGAAAATGCCAATCTTTCTGATCAACAAGCTCAATGCCTTAGCCACTGCGTCCTTGATCT